CGCAACAACACGGACTACACGGGGACGCTGGGCAGGTGGGCGGTGCGTCTACAAGACTATGACTTCGACATCTGCCACCGTGCCACGCGGCAGCATGGTAACGCTGATGGATTAACGCACCTTCTGTCGCCCAACAAGTGTCCCGCCAACGAGCGACTCATTCCGTGGAGGCCAGAAGTCGCGGCGACGAAACCGCACTACGGGGAGCTACACGTGCTGCGTAAGGACGACACCTGAGTCCGGAATGGAGGTTTCGTCGCAGATGGCCGACGCTATCTCTCTGCCCTCATCCCACTCCCTCTCTCTCTCGTCTAGCCCCAACTCGTCCTCTGAAACACACCTAAGTCCCTGTTTCTTCTGTAGCTTGCCTATGATCCCGGACCAAGAAGGGTCACATCCGGGAGGGCCCAGTTTTCTTTTATGGGTACAGTGTAGTCAGTGTCATACGGTAAAATCTCACGGACAGTGCGTTAGGTACCGAAGTAAAAAGACGTGGGTTTGTCCCAACTGTAGAACGGACCAAGACCCTACCGAGAGGCGGTATCTGGACGCTAGAACAACCGACGCATTTGCGCCAAGTGCCCGCCGGGCAGAAGCCTGGACGGACCTTCTGTTGCTACGGAGATTGTCAGGCGACTCGTTGTCAGAACTTACCAAAGCCGAACGGCGGAGAGTCACGGAGCGGGTGCAAGACTATCGCTGGCAGGGCCCGACGTTACAAAAACGGAAGGTCGATGATGACGGAGAGTCTAGCTGGTTGACGGTTCCACACCCTCCTACTAGGTTTGATTGGACACGAGCCGCTCATGAGAAGGATGCGGTCCATTTCGCGGTCGAGTACACGGAAAAAGCCATCGAAAAGAATGGATGGTACTGGTCGGGAATTCGGGAAGATGTGAAATACATCGTTCAGAATTGCCCGGCCTGCGCGGCGGACAAGGCGCCGGTACAGATGCCTCGGACGATGGTGCCCACTCGTGTAGAGCGCCCCTTTCAGAGGGTTAGCATCGATACGACGGATATCAACGTTCCGAGAGGGCCCGTCGATCAGGGAGAACTCAATGTTCTTTTAGTGGCCGTCGATCATTTCTCAAAATGGATCGAGGCGTACCCTATGACCAGTCGGAATTCGCAGGAAGTAGCCTGGTATGTAAATCGATTTTTGTGCATGCATTTAGACATAGAAGAGGTACACATGGACAATGGGTCGGAATTTCAAGGCGAAGTAGAACGTCACCTAGTCAGGGCGGACGTTAAGATTATCTACTCGCCAGGGCATTGGCCTCAAGCCAATGGCCTGGTAGAGAATGCCAACCGACTGATTAAGACGGCCTTTAGACGGAATATCACTGCGGGAGACACCCGACCCTGGCCGCTCATTGTCGATCACATTTTGGCCGTTTATCGGGCTACCCCACACGGTAGTACTGGGGTGTCCCCCTTTCAACTGAGAACCAATAGTGTCCCTCGGGTGCAATTATCCCCCTTAGTAGGTACGGAAGTTAGAGCAACATGGGCCCAGAATCGAGACAAGGCCCGCCACTACATGGACTTAATGGCTAGGGCCTATCCCCCGTTAGCTCGCCGTCGACAGTAGGCCGTAGATCGGACACATCAACGGCAAATCCATGACTACGAGAATCGACACGCGTCGGCGGGACCACTGCCCCGCTATAAAGTTGGGGACTTGGTGCAGGTACGGAAATCTGCGCGTTCCTCCAAGATCCACCCGCGCTACACAGGCATTTACGAGGTCACGGAAGTTGGCGCACAGGGACAGCACTCCGTGAAGCTGATTCCCCGTCACAACTCCCAGGCCCGACCGCTGACACGGCACGCTGTCGTGCGCCGGTCCTTTCAGCCATCGCTAGGTCCCCTACGGACCCCCGCTCCTGCGAGATCACCCTCTCCTTCTTCATCCTCCTCCTCTTCCCGATCTGCCTCGTCCATTGGTGCTGAGAGTTTTAGGGAGCAGGATGAACCATCGCCAGCCGGAGCATGAGCCCCTCGAGCACTTCCAGACGCCGCTTGCAAATCGCTTGTTGCGGCATCGGTTTAATGAGGAGAGGCAGTTGCGGTACGACATCCAACAGGTGAACGTGCCAGCGCCCGGGGTTGCTGATTTGGCAGCGTACTCGTTGCTTTGCGATCGGCTGACATATGCGGGAGTGTACGTGGACGTGACGCAGTTGCCTGGCCGGGAGACGACCCGAGTATTCATTGAGTTTCGTGCGCTCCAGGTGGCACCCAACTTCATGCACAGCGTCGCCACCTTCATCGGAGACTTGACGGTCCTACCGTAGCAGAATCGGGAGCCGGCGTGCAGCTTTGTGCGCAAATACGCGGTGGAAGCAGCCAGATCAGTGGCCAGAGTGCAAGGACGGGGGGGACACCGATTCACAGCCCACGAAGTGCTGGTGCGTAGGGCAGAGGACGGACCGATTGCGTTGGTGCCGCAGCTCCCCGCGCTTCTCCCTCCCGCTGCTCCTCTCAACCTCCAAGCTATTCCCCCTGTCACGTACTAAATGCCTCCTTTCTTCTCCTACACCACCCTCCCCTACCACTCACGGAGGGCCCTTACCCCATGCGCGAGTTCTCGGAGTATTTGGTGGAGCTAACTCACGTGGAGCCGCTGCCCTTCGCCGACGAAGACGCGTGGGAGTTGCACCGTGCGCTGTACAAGTTGGTGGCGCTGGGGATGTTCCGGTTCTTCGTGGATCACGAAGACCACGCTATCAGGGAGCACTTCATCGTTTACTACGTCATCGCGCGGCCCAAGCCAGCGGAGAAGGAAGGGACGGTGGCGCTGTACCCCTTCGCCCCGCTCCAGACAATCGATTCGGGATTGTTGGAGCTCATACATCTTGAGCTCCTCTCCATTGCGCAAGTGATCGCGAGCGAGGAGGAGGAGATCCAACCACGATTGCGGAAGGCGACGGCCCCGCGGAGAACGTACAACAAGGTCGTCCTCCCGGATTACATTGCGCAGCGCGCGGAGAGATTGGAGGACTTCCTGGAGGAAAGGCCGTTGCGTCCTCCCTCGTCGTATCCTCGACCAGCGCCACCGAAGGCCCCCAAGAAGACGCCGAAGAGGAAGAGACGCCACCCGTCGCCAGGGGCGCAAGGCAGCAGGATCGGCGGCGGCGAGGAGGTGATTCAGCCCGCGCGTACGCGGATTCCTAACCCTGTGCCTGGGAGTGCGGCGACGCTCGTTAAGGAGACTATCGTGCCATCGCCGCCCACTCCGCGTGTGCCCGATCTCAATCTTGATGGAGCCGGGCCATCATCATCAGCAGCAGCCGGAGGAGGAAGCCGAATGGGATTTCCGGATTCCATATCCAGATCCCCCGTCCTCGCGGGACCTCTCTGTTCCCGCCAGCCACCCCGGGGTGCCCCGATCATTGACATTAGTAGTTCATCCGAGCCGGACGGTCCATCCGACCGAGGTGGACTTCATGGTGGAGCCCGCCACCATCAGGCTCGAGGCCATCGCGGGGGCGCCGCGCCCTGATCCGGCGTGGGAGCCATATCTGACACCCCCTTTCCAAGGGTGTATTGCGGCGCGATTGGCTGGGACGCTCATCTACGAGACCGGGCAGCGTCCAAACGTGATGTACCACTTCCTGGTCTTCGCGGCGCAGAAGCGGGAGCGACGGCCTTACACCGAGACTCATGTGGTGATGACGGGTCCAAGGCCCCGATCGGTGCGCAAGCGGGTGGTGCGAGCGGTAGCGGATCTGGCGCCCCGTGTCCTCTCACATGTGCCGGGGGCTTTCCTTTACCCCTCATTCGTCCAGCATCACTTCCATGAGGGAGATGCGCCAACGACTCTTGCGGCAATGGCCGCTTTTCTTCCACCTATTCCGCCCCCTCTCAATCCCGACATAGATCACTTCCTCCGATAACCCTCGTCTACCTCTCCCCTGTCCTCTCCTTCTCCTTCTCTTCTTTTTCTTCTTCTTTTCCGGATCTAAAGCTCGCGCGACGATACGCGCTGTATATATATATAAAAATAATAATAATTATTATTATTATTTTTAGTTACCGATCGGGCCAGCTGACGATGAAGGGGCAGCCCGATCGAATGTATACTATGGGAGGAGGCGATGGAGGATGCACGATGCATCCACGTAGATTAGGAAGATGATCGGGCCAGCTGACGATGAAGAGGTCGCCCGATCATCCATGATATGATGACATCAGCAGTCGGGAGACTGCTAATTTTTCGAAACCCCCTGCGCATCACAAATGTGATAAGCTCAGATCCGTACCACGCGGCTTGCCGTATCCCTGGGGAAAAAGCCCGCGGAAGCCCCGAAGTATGGACGCGGATAGAAAGGGGTTTTTCTTTCTTTTTGTTTTCTTTTTGAAACGGCTTTTTCATTTTGTTTGGTTAATAACTCCCACGGGCGAATAGCGGCCGTGGTATGAAAACCAAGAAACGGGTGCGGTTGGGACTTTTTGAATTTTTGCGTGCGCGCCCAAGCTCCAATTTCTTCGCGCGTCTCGCATCCCCGTTTCTTGCTTTGCATCCTCGCGCCATCTTCCCTTCTTGCTGCGCGCGTTTTCCCCATGCAGGACTCTTCGTCTTCCCCTACGCCCAGCTTGATCCTTACCCCGTCTTCCTCCGCGAAGTGATTGGCTGCGTAGTTGGGATGCTCGGATCAATGTGGAAAGCGGGAAACCGCGCACCACTTGGACGAACACCCCAATCATGTAGCCATGCAATCCCGCGGGTCGAACCCTCTAACTCCCCACCTCTCTCTCCTGTCCTGCTAATCTACACCCTGCGCTGCCCGCACCTCACGCTGTTAAGCCGCCGCCTCCCGCGCTATAAATTTGCGCAACCCTCTCCTCTCCTTCTCTTTGATCTCGACTGCAATGTTGCGCGAGCTATGCGCGAGAGTCCGCAGCGCCGAACAGGCTCGACGAGCCCAAGGACGGGCGGAGTGACGACGTGGGGTGGGCCCCGCGGTAGTATCGGGGCTAATCAGTCGGAGGGACTGAGCAGTGGTGGGGATTGGATGCCGGCCGCAGCAGGGCCTTGTGGCTATGGTGGTCGGTGGTCTTGGGAAGTTTTGAAGGCTGCGCCTAGGGGCCGCAACTAATTGAATTTTTTGTGTACAGGAAGCACTCGCTTTTATCTCCATTGCTGCTTTGTCCATGCATGTCGTGTGTGTGAAGCCCCGAGTGATGGGAGCTGGTTGTGCGCACGAGTGATGTCGAAGGTTCATGGATGATTAGATGTCCTGTCAAGAGTTGTTGATTGCATGCATGTATGTGTGTATGTACTCGTCCGGGCGGGGATGGGGAAGCTGAACTGAGGGACCGTCTGCTTAGGAGTATGAGTGTGTTGATCCGGTTGTTCCCCTTCCCTCCGTGGCCTTTTCTGCGCTCTCGCGCGGTCTCGGCGCAACTCACCCTCTCTCTCTCTCTCTCTCTAATGCTTTCCTTTTTGAACTGATAGTCTTCGCTTTTGGAGTTTCTCGCCCCCGTACCGGTGACGTCAACCGCTTGCGTCCGCGCGGACGGTCGACGCCCCCGCGAGGGGAGAGAGCTTAGACTTTGTCGTCTTCCCTCGACGCACCCACCTTAAAGAGAGAGGAGTTGCGACGACTGTTGTATGGATTCGGTGTTGGTTCGGATGACCGGGAAC